CCGCCAGGGCCGCTGTATTTACCTGGAGGCAGAAACAGGCCGCCGCCGCCGCCGCGGGCACGCGGTAATTAATCCCATGCTTTCCGCGGTCGAAGCTCCTCCTTTTTGTCTGGCCTCGTTATCGGTCGTCGGATCGTCGACTTTCTGCTCCGAGTCTGAAAAGAGAGAGTTATTTTACGAATGAACTCGGGAATTTTGAACACGTTATCTTCTTCTCACGATAAATCATGGATAACGTAGACACGAATGTGTGTGTAATCCGATTATAAAATTCTGTTTTATAAATCGTTCCCTGTTCACTTTATATATTTCGAAGTAATTTTTTTCTCTTTTTAGATATTTATGTTGAATATGTAAAGAATCCTGCAAGACGCCGCACATGTGTGTAGTAACAATTAAAATTAATCTACTACTTTAACATAAAAATAACCGATTATGTTTTCATAAGAATGTTTCCAGGATTTAATTTTTTATTTTTCGATATTTTTAAAAATAAAATTAATTTTATGAAAAACGCCATTTATAATTGCTTTCACTAATAAAGTTTGTAAAAATAAAATAATAAAAAATATATATGTACATGTATAGAGAATCTGAGGTAAAAATCTTCAGGCAGAATCTAAAAGAAATCACGATGCAGATAAAGCGGCCCTGCACGTTACTCGTGACAAGTGCATTTCTTCTGTCACGTGCTGCCTCACTCTCTCAGTTTCTGTATATTTCTCCGTTTCAATATCCACTTCTCTTCTCACTAGTAACACATCTTCGTTTTCTTCTTCCCTTTGTTCTCTCTTTGTCTTCCTTTTCGACGATGCGTAAGTGAACTCTCAGGACTGTCAGGATGATGTACATCAGTCGGACGTAAACTCGATTTCGTTCTTGCCAATCTCAATGTTTCAGACACGATTTATCGTCCTCGATAAAGTACGTCGTGTTTGTTGCGCGATTCTCACCGAAGAAGACATCCAATATTCGCTGCCTTCCGGACAACGCTAAATCTGCATCGTTTAGGGCAACATTAAATCTACGGAAGTTGTCCTCTCTCGCGAGCAACATCGGTACGCCGCAAATCTCTCCTCGCGCCAGGTGAATGCGACCCTGGGACATGTACCCCGTGTTTGTCGCCGCCAAACTCGGCAATATTTAAATGCGATTGCGTTCGGGGAATGTAATTGCTCGGGCTATACTAGCAGACTTCGCCTTGTCAGTCCGTTTTACGAGATATGGACGGACGGAAAGGGAGAATGAAGTCTGCTCGAGAAGTGCGAGTAGAAAGAAATTTAGAACTTGAAACATATCGTCAATTTTCTATTCTTAAGGAGGTTCTCGCGCTACTTCCTAGTCAATAGACAATTTAGTCATAATAATATGTAAAACAATTAAAATAATAGAATAAAAAGGTTACTAATGATATCTTATGCCATTATACATAATTATTGTTAATTTTATATGTTACTAATTTTCGAAATAATAAAATAAAAGTTGTAAGATGCTCATTTGATGTAAACTGTACGGTCAGTTTAAATGAAACTTTACGAGAACAAACTTAAGTGTTTACTTTATAATTATAACAATTTTTAAATTGTCTTATACGCAGTATAACCCTAATAGCACAGATCTCCAAGGGATGTTCCATAGAACATTCAGAGGATATCTCTATGTCCTAAGAATGTTCGCCAGAACGTTCCTCGAATAAAGTGTGCTATTAGGGAAGTGTCTCAATTTAAAAGAGAATAACTACAGAATAAGGTTCAAAATACCTTCAACTTGTAATGTAAAATTCTATAAATTTAGAATTAAATATTTTCAAAATGCAGGGTTGAGTAGTAACTAATTAAAACGTTAAAAGTTAAAAAAAAAAGTTAAAAAGTTAATAACTATAACTCACTTTTAACTTGGTTAATTTTAACTTAGTTAAAACTTTTAACTTAGTTAATTTTAAATGCATTAATTTTTAACTTAATTTAATTACTTTTAAACTTTAATTTATCAATCTTTTTTTGAATTAAAAATTTTTCTATCTCTTTTAATGCTAATTTTTTTTCTATAAAGTCTTAAACATTAAAGAATTAATTTAGAAAAAATTCAATGATTTTATGATGAGAGATCTATAATAAGAGTTACACCATACGGTAGCCAGTTTTTATTGACTCGCTAGGTTTTGTCAATTCCCGCTTATATTTGAATTACACTAATTTTAGGTATCATAAACGTTATATTTCAGCAACATAAATATGAAATGAATCTTAGATGAAAAGCCTTATTGTAGAACAGTATTGCACATCCACCCATTTTCTACATTTTTACGTATATTTTTTGTAACAAATATCTAGTCGATGTAGTTGTAAACATGCATGAGCAGTCATTTCAGAAGTTAAAAAAAGTTAGATAATGGTTAAAGAAAGAGAAATAATGCAAACATATACCCTTCTCTCTCGCAAGATTTTGACAAAAACGCCTTATGATATGACTCTTATCATATATAAGTAACTTACATATGAATATGAAAAATTAAATTTACCTAATAATCTATATTTGTAAGTGTTATTTAAAGTAATCTCATTTTTGAAAAAATTAGGGCATTCTGATCTCAAAAATAATTTTTTTCAAAATTAACTTTTTTTTAAATTTAAGTTAATTTACTCTTAACTTAACTTTTATTAAGTTAATTCTTTATTTCTTCAATTTTTTATTTAATTTTATTAATTTTATATGCCATTAACTTTAACTTAATTTAGTTAAAAAAAAAACATTAACTTACCCAACCTTGTCAAAATGGTATAATAAACGTTAATGAAATTTTTTCTAGATATTATTGATATATTATTAATTTTTGTATTACATGTATACATGGTATGTATATTATAGACTTGTCTTACATTTCATCAAACGCGAGAACCTCCTTAACTTTTTTAGATATCACAGTCTTAATCTATGATCAAGGAGAAGAGAATGAATCTTGGATTGATATTTGAAATCAAAGAAAGATCAAGTAAAACAAAACAAAAGAATGAATGGGGTATTAGAGAAGATGCTTCAATAAACACAGTACCAAATTTCTCAAAGAATGCTTTTCTAAATTATCGAAATTTCAAAGCATTTTTTATATCATGCTAATTAAACGATTATACTAATAGCGCGTGATAAACAATGAGATAACGGGAATATAGGTGTAAAAGTCGAGTGTGTACATTACTCGAAATATTCGCGCTTCTCAATTTCTGGGAGATGAGACGGCGACAATGGGAACGCGCGAGGACACCCCCGTGCAAACGATGAGAGGACACCCTCTCTTCGCTCTTTCAGCAGAGAGAAAGAGGGGAGGGAGAGAGAATGGTACAACGACGTGGACGAGGGTGGACGGGACGAGGAGAGGGGCAAAATGCCGGGAGTGCGGCCTATAACGCAGGCAGACGGAGCCAATCAGAGCGCAATGCGATTACCTTAACGAGAAATCCGATTACTTATTCATTCGCCTAACTCGAAATCAGTTTAACTAATCGTTTAATTCGGTCGCTCTCGCTACCAGCCCCTCCGGTCGGTCCCAGGCCTTCGGATCTCCCCGGTCTCGGAGAAGAGGAGCGTAGACGCCGGCGACGAACGGGGGTTACAATGTCTCACCAGGGACGTAGCGAAATCTCGCGCGGCATCATCCGAGACGCTCGCATTTCCAAGCAAAATATATGAACGGGATTTCTAAACAAAAATTAAATTATAGAAATCAAAGCCTTAAACTGTCCAGCTGGATCTTAATGCTTGTGTGATTCTTGTGTGAATTTATATACTACGTATGTAGTATATATAAATTCCGAGGTAATATTTTTCGCTATAAGAATTAATTATTTACAGATTTTAATAGGTCATTTAACATTATTAAGATCATTTCGAAGATGCGAATAAGCATCAAAAATTGGTTAAATTGCTAGTCAACTTAATTAGTGATATTACTGCGGAGGTTTATTAGAGTTAGCGTTTCAAGACCGAAAAATCATTTCGGCGCGCGTTTCTGAGGATTACATACGTAGTACATAAATTTACACAAGAATCATACAAGCATTAAGATGCAGTTAGACCATTTTTAAGGCTTTGATTTCTATAGTTTGTGTTATCACGTATACGGTCTTACAATATATTATATTGAAAAAATTAAATTATTGTAACCTCTTTAATTTACATCTCAATGTTTGATCGCGATAAAGATTAAATTAAATGTATTATCTATGAGATCAGTCAACTTCTATTGTGGATAAGTAAAAACTGGAAAATATATTTGTAATTTGAACATTACTGATATTTTTAATCTAATTAATGTATTTCTTGGGACTGTTTTATTGCTTATTACTAAACAATGATTTAAAAATTAATTATTTATTCGTCTAACGGATTTCAAACAGCTTTTCTGCAGTTTCTGCTGTATCGATAATCTTGCTATTCGACATAAATTGAAAGAACATCTTCAGACAGCTTTGAGAATCTCACCTTCCCAAAAGACTTGTCGACTTCCGTCAGCTTCCGGGGCCCCTTCCGGTCTTTAATCCACCTCTGAATCTCGGTTCACCCCTCGACTCGCATAGACCATGCACGCACACGCGTGCCTGAGCATTCCCACGCGTACACGTTCGAGCCAAGCGCTTCGGAAGGGGGTGGGCGATGCGGAGCAAAGGAGAGGGCTCATTCAATTCAATTACGTAATGAATTGTCGTGTCTTGAGTAAACACCCTTCCTCGCCGC